ATCTTCCAGCCTCTGGATGTCAGCACACAAGGACAAGAATGCAAATGCAGGCAGAGCAGAGAGCGCAATAACATATGTTACCGAGGAGCATAAAACAAGCTCCAAGAATAGATGTGATATGTAGGTACGTGCACTGATTGCGTGGCAACAACATGGAGAGAGTGAAAGAGACGGATGTCAAGAGCTTCAAGCGGTTAAATCAATCACCGGGACTGTGAGTGTTGGCATCACAGCAGAGGTATAAGCACAATATATGGAGATGTCTGTAGACACCGTATGCATATTGTAAACTCATTCACGGTCTCGCAGAGTAATGCATATTTTTAAATGACAAACAGAAGAAGAAGGAAGGAGCCATCTGTCTCGGTTAAACTGAGCACATCATCCTATTTGAAGTGCATTGAAGGGAGGAAGAGCACAGGGATGCTTCCTCCTGGGTGATAAACACACCCAGTTTACAGTAGATTAGCCAGGGACAAAAAAAAAAAACAAAACAGCAAAGACCAGAGAGCATCCAGGCATTCACATTAATTCAGCCACCAAACTGTATATAATTCAGTGTCTTTCAAGAGGTTTTGATATGCACCATTATCTGTGACAGGTGGCTGTGTGTGTTTTTGTGTTTCATACAGTTGGTGTTGCAGTCATTAAAGCCTAAATGGAAACATTACTGTGGTTAAAAGAGCCTCCTATGCAGGATCACAATTGACTGCTGTTGTCTTCTTTATTTTTAAAGAGAAATTTGGATGATGCAAACTGAGAGATTATCTTTTTTTTACTCCTTTTTGCTGTTTTTGTGAGAGGTTTACACAATCTGTTCCTCCCAGTGGTAGATGTAGATGTGTAAAACTCCAGTGACAGCATGTATTTGAATGCATTTACACGGCTGTACATCCAGAATTCTAATTCTGGTAATAAAAATACTCAGAGGCGCTTCTGCCTCAAATTAACCACCTGCCCACATGCAGCTGTTGGAAACCTTAATCACTGAAACGAGACGCTAAATGGGCTGTTTTCTCTCGGTGGGTTGCTGTTATCTGTTTGTGCTTCTTTGATTTGCTGTCGACTCTGGGAGGATTATTTCCATGTTCTTATACGAGCTGCATTTATTTTGTGTCACAAGTTTTGATTGCAGTGACTAAAGGGATGTTTGCTTAGAGCGCATCCCAGATGAACATTTCAATTTCCACACAAAGTGCATGTCTGACAGCCCATTCAGGCCCAAAGTACTCCACCTGTTCCCCTTCTTCCTGACACTCAGAAAGTAAAAGTGGTGCTACAGCGGCAGCATAACAAAGTAATTATGCATCTCATCTGCAAAGATACTGAATAATAAGATGCTCATTTTGGTAATATGTAACCCGCTAATGCCAAATGAAACATGGACATCCTAATTCAATCAAAGCCCACGTTTGTAATTCAATTTGAGGCTTCAGTGGAGTGGAAGAGAGCCGTGAAGAAGATACAAGGCTGGCAAAGCGGCACGGAAGTTTCTATAGGCAGATGAAGGCGTCTTAATCTTCTCCACTGTCGCTTAAATAATTGACTTCCCTCATTATTCCCTCTGATCTCATCACCTTTAAAAAGCTGAGCGTGAATGTAAATGAGAAGTTTTTATGTGAAGATGCTTCTCTCTCTGTCTTTCTCGCACTGAGCACAGATTTCACAGCTGTCGTGGGAATTGGCAGTACAGCGTGGAAGGAAAAAAGAACAGTTGAGAACAGAGGAGAAGAAGCAGAAAGAGCTCCAGAACAGAAGAGAACCTGGCAGGTGCCTACCTGAGGTAACGCAGCGGTTCTATGGTTTCAGCCTCTGCCTCCGCTGAGCTGTGGTTCATCTTGTCCATCTGTTTTCACCCAGCACGACTCGGCAAATATGAGGGGGGGGCAACAAAAAAAGGCTGAGATGTGTCGCTCCAAAGAAAACACTTCCTTTTCTCTCTCTGATTCAATAAACACACTGTCTAACCTCTCTGCCTGGGAATAGACTGAGACTCTAAATGGGCTTTTCTTCCCTCTGTGCCTCTCCTCTTGATTGGCTCAGTCGCTGGTAGGTAATTACTGCACTCTGAATCTTGCCTCTGTATCTCTGCCTCTCCTCTCTGTCTCTTTCCCACTGTGGCCCCGGCTCATTCTCTGATAAAACCAGCTGGCTCTGTGTATCAGCTGCGCTCACCGGGAAATCCAGCCAATTAAGAATCAGGAGGCACGGTGCTCGCCAGCTGATTGGCTCCGGCTGCCACGATCATAGCTGTTCAGTCATGTAGGGTGCAGCACCCCTCCCTCACTCACTCACTCACTCACTCACTCACCACCCCTCAAATTCACACACACATGTTCGTGCACACTCCTTGGTGGCAAAAGGATCCCTTGATGTTGAATCTGGAGCAAGCAGCAGAGCGAGGAAACACTTCACTGCTTTCATATGATGCTGGAATATAAATGAAGCCCATTAGCTCAACTGAGATAAGAACACTATAATACCTGAGCAGCAGTTTGCATTCAGAGCACAAACGATATGAGCAATAATGGCCCCGCAAAATGCAGTGATACACGCAGGCTCATCATATGGATTTAGGGCAGCTGATTAGCAGGAGGGAAAAAGACTCATTAAAATGTAAACATGTAGGAATAAACATACACCCAGCTACACACACACACACACAGAAAGAGAAACACACAGGAGGGATATGTATAGCAGCATCACAAGGAGAACCTGCAGCTGCCAAGGAATGAAGCTCAGAAGTAGGTCGTGGTAATAAAACAATAGCCCACTTTCTCTTTTCTTTCTCCTCCACACGTTATGACCACTCCATCCAGCTCCAAGTCTGTCTGGTTTACGGATTAAGGCGCAACAAAAAGAAAAGAAAAGGAAAAAAAAAACAAGCAAGTCTTTAGCTTTTGTTTTTCTGCCAGATTACACAAATGTACCTGTTAGAAGGATTAAATTCCTGTAAGGACAATTGAAGGCAAACATAAGCGGAGGGAATGTTGGTGCACTCCGCCACCTAGAGGTGACAACGTACCACGGCAGAAGCTGCAGATAAGAGCAACAGAAGGAGAAAGAAAAGCACAAGAGAACAAAGCATGATGGGTATTTGGTTTGTTGCATGGTACAAATTCACATTTGCTCATTTAAAGCACCTTCAGAAATGGTTCCTCCTGCTGATACTGATTATTAAGTCATTCTTTATGAAGAACGATGCTTTGATTGTAAGAGCTGGAGAGCAAGAATCTAGTTTTCCTGAACTGTATGTGGCTTTTTGACACCATGTACATACAGTAATGCAAGTATAGATTGAATATGGACTAAAAAGTTTTTAGGTTTTCAAATGACAGTAATCCCTTCATGCCTCAAAATGGTTTGGATGTAACTTGTTGCTGTTGTTGTTGTTGCTTTTAGAATTTGTACTGCAGCTGAAGCATACCTGCTCACTTGCTGCTCTGCTTCAACACTGTCAAACTAATTTACACTGTTAAAAAAAAATATATATATATATATATATATATATATATATATATATATATTGGTAATTATGATGAACAATTGTCATTTCTAGCCTTGCTTTTATATGTAAATATTAATATTTTGGGCATTTTAAAGTTTAATAAAGGATATTTACATGTCTAAAAACAATAAAATTACCCATTATACATCAGATATACTGTTTAATTTAAAGATATTGTTAAACTGGAATTTACCAGTGATCTCTAAAGATAAAAAATAAATGAATAAAATTCATATTTTTGTGGTTATTCAATTTGTTATGACCCATTTACAGTTTTGTTTCATGTTATTTTACATTAAACACTGAAATTCTGTCTATTTTTCAATTTTATTTATGGTTTTGTGTATTTCAGAAATCCATCCATCTATTATCTATACATCGCTTAATCCTCATTAGGGTCGTGGGGGGCTGGAGGACAGGACAGGACGCCATTCTTCTGCATGGAGTTTGCATGTTCTCCCCGTGCAGCGTGGGTGTCCCCTGCCTTCACCCTAAGTCAGCTGGGATAGACTCCAGCCCCCCATGATCCTAGTTAGGATTAAGCGGTGTATAGATAATGGGTGGATGGATGGATGCTCTTCCCTGACAAGCTGTAATATTGGAGTATTTCAACTGCACATCCAAAACCAGTTCTAAAGAAGAATAATGATCCATCTGGAAGTTGACAGGATTGGATTGCTCATAATGTCTTTTAACATTTACAAACCCCATGTAGACAATCTACAAAGGGTAAATGTACACTGGAGGGGGCTTTGTGAACCTATGCCTATTGATTTAGCGTTTGGATTAAGGTTTGAATTCCTTGATCCAAACCTGAGTGACAAACATGAAAAGCAACCTTTGGAATTCTGTCTTGATAGCTTCCTGTTGAATGAATTCATGTGAGTTTCTTTATCATTTTTATCTTAAATGCTTTTTTCTTAGCTTTGCACAGCGGTGTTGACGCAAACCGACTTTCCTCAAGTAGACACAACAAAAGCATAAAAGCAACCAGCGTACGACGAATCCAGCACAAAAGCCTCACAATAATCACTCGGAGAGCCTCAGTGTTAAAGATTACAAGCTTTACTGACATTCCTTTCAATGTTATTGTACCGCAGTGCATTGCTGTTTTGATTTGGTCTATCCAGAGTAAATTAGCAGTCTAATTGCATAAACACTGAGTCATGTAAACACACGCTACGCTGCAGCACCAATAAACAGGCAAACGAGCCACAAACGAGGGGTTAAAATTAGTTTTATTATTATTTGATAGAGCAGAGGAAAAAAAAAATCAAAACAAAAACAAAACAAAAACAAAAAAAAAAACAACAAATATTTCTCATACATTGTTTTCTTTTCCATTTGGGCTGCACTGCATTCAGCAGCGCGTCAACCCCAAACAAACGGAATGGTGATATTGTTGTCAAACAGCAGCAGCAGCAGGCAGTAGTCAGGACAGCACAGGGTTACACTTAGCAGGGCACAAAATGATGAGCTTGTTCCAGATTGCTTTTTTTTTTTTTTTTTGCATCCACAAGACGCGGGCTGCTACCTTCTGCCTGTCAGGAATGTACAGACAACCTGGAATATTACCGATGCTACTTTGAGACAGAAATACAGAGATGTCGAGCAATTTAAATTAAAATTTGTTTTGCTTGTATTTCCAACATAAGAGTGTTTGTTGCACCATCCTAAATGAAACCCAGGTGTACAGTGATGATACCCCCCCAGCACAAAGGGATAAACTTCAACTGATGCCCATTTACTTAATGCAGTGCACCATGTTTTAGCATGGAGGTTGATGGGGGGAAAATAAAATAAAATCAGTGAGCTAAAGAGTGCACTCTGGATACAGGACACAAAGTCTTACAATGTTAGATCACATCACGGATGAATTGATGGAATCAGGAGTGAGGCGACGGGGCGGAGGGACATCAGGGTTCATAATAAGTGATGAAATAATGAATTATATCATTTCAATGTGACAAGGACAAAAAATTGAGGGAAAAAAAATACAGGATATTGGGGGGAACAAAACAAAACTGCTGGGGTGGTCAGCCGCTTGTCAGCTGGATTTCTTTTAAATATCTTCCAAACAAAACTGCTTTTACTGATTAAATCCAACACATCAATATCTCAAAACCTTTCCCCAGTAGGGCTCAAAATTCTAAAGCCATTACAGAGCAGTAGAGTCGATGCCACCCAGACCACCCCAGTGAGTGAAATGAAAGAAAACAGCACATGGTAGTTAAATAACTCAAATCCATGAGCGATGGGGGAGTTCCCCAGTTCGACGTGGGACATATTGTACTTCACTAGCTTATCCTGTGCTGCTGCAACCTGATAAAAATGCAATATAGCTCATGTGAAAGGCAGAGTTAGCTCAATTCAATGACCTGACAGAAATCATTACACACCTTAATGTTAAAGACTAAGAAGTTCATGTCATTTGTTTGCTATAGGGGTTTTTGCATAACTACATTCTGAAAGCTGTCCAGCTTCTCTCAGACCAATCGTTAGGGTGCATGGGAGCCACTTGACACACAAGAGAAAACAATATTTTTTTTAAGATCCATTCAAACTTAGGGCATAAGCATATGTCTTTACTAACATGACCCTATAAATAAATTCAGACAGTTTGTCTATAGAAGAAAAATAATGCACCACAACCTATGACTAAAAGCAAAAACAATGTCAAAAATATGACATTCCTTACACCCCCTCAGTTTAGCATGAATTCATGTTTATATCCAGAGAGGGTTCAAATAAACTAGAAACCTTCTAGCAGAAGGGATTCCATTTGGGCTCCACTAGTTCTTTGGAAGGTTTATTTTACAATATTCAATAAGAATAGTCCTCCAAACATATGCTCCGTGTTTTTACATGAGTCAGTGAAACCTTAATCTTTATTCTTCCTCTTCATCTTAGAAAAAACAAAGTATTTAAAAGTAGGCCACAACATGGAACCCAGCAGATGTAAAACCACCTCAACAGTAACATTAGCCTGTAAATTCAGACCTCGACAAGAGGCCACTTCCAAAGTATCAGGGAGCACAATATTCCAAACACAGTATATGACTTACAGAAGAAAAGACAAAATCCTAACATTCAGCCATACAAAATAATCCAACACACATCGACTTCTCTGCTATACACGCTGTAGGTTAGAGAGAAGAGGCAGTCTGTGTGCAGATAGAGATCCTTTTTTTGTTGTTTTTTTTTTTAAACAGTTTTTCTTTTTTACTTATTTTATTCATTTTTGCAAAGCTGAAGCAGTTATTATTCCGTGGATGGTCCTCGAAGCTCAACAACAATCCCTGTGATGAGGTCTTCAGTTAAGTTCGGTTCGGCCACCACGCGGGCCTGAGTCTGACTGGCTCAGACTGGAGAGGGGCAGGACGTAAGGCGAATATTTTATTGTGTATAATAGTGATTATTACTTTTCCCTGCCTAATCCAGAGGCAGGAGAGCTCAGGGGTTTTTCCACTGAACATCCTCTTGGTGCAACTGGGAGGTTCAACCAATATACAGGGAGGGAAGAGGCGTCTCTGGAGAAGTTTGTAAAATTGTACACGTCCATGTCAACAACAACCCTCAAAAAAAAAAAAAAAAAGACGGTACCCAATTTTCTATTTGACATGTTCCTTGTATCCCCTGAAGCTGTCAAAGCACAACTCCAACTCGGGAAGGATTCGGATAAGGAAGAAGGTAGCAGAAGAAGATGGGAAAGAGGTGCAAGAACACCACTATCCCACAAGAAAAGAGGCTGATTCTCTCCTGTGCCATTTTGGCCAGAGTCCACAGAAAGGATTAGAACAATAATGAGAATGGCTGTTATTGATATTAAGAGGGCTAATAGTTATGGTGTCAGTAGGGAGTAGGATTGCATTATTTCCATGTGTTTGCTGCTTGGGAGATAGAACGGGAGGGAATCATGTCCAGCAGATATTCTCGCTGACGCTCCACAGCAGAGCTGGTCTTATGAGCGGACAAGCTGGGGTTCACATAGGCCATAGTCACACCTGCCAGGAGACAAACACAGACGTCGTCAATGTACTTGATATTATTAGAATCAAGCTGTTTAGCAATAGTTTTATGAAGAAATATTATTGCAATGTTCTGACTTCTGATGTAGGAAGAAGGCAAAAATAGAAGTACTAATGAAATAGATGGAAAACATAAGGTTGCCGACCCCTGTTCTAAGCATACAAAAAGCTACAAAAACTACACAGACACACACAAGGAGTAGAGACAAACACTCAGATAAGAAGACAAGTCGAAGGGAATGGACAGAAAGAAGAGTCTTACAGAAAAGTATGACAGAGGAATCCACCTTACAACAAAGTGATTCCCCCAAATAGGAGCAGAAAGTGACGACAGGTGAAGTGCGTTCTGTCTAACTTTGGCTCTCGTTTACATACCTGCGTTGCCACTCTGCTTCCTCCAAGCGGCCATGTTGCCCGGGTTACCGCTGCTGCCACCGGCGCTGACCTTTGCTCCCTGCTGCAGGGTGCGAGCTGCAGCATGCTTACCTGCCCTGCTGCCCAGTGCTGCTGCTCCCAGCACTGCATTCTGCAGCTGGGAGGAGGTGGTGAAGGAGTGGGCCATACCACGAGAGCTCACTGCAGACTGGAGGCTGTGCGACAGCTGACTCTGTAGAGAGACACAACGTGATGGGAGTGTGGGTGTAGATGTAAATTAGCATTCAAATATTTTGGGTGTCGATGTAGGAAAATTATTTTTAAACTGCTGTTGAACCAACTGCTGGTCTGCCAGTAACACAATCAAATGTAATGCTAACCTGCTTAATGGAGTGGTGGGCAGCCACAGATCTGTGCTGCATGGCAGCCCTGACCTGCTTATACTGCTGGGACACCAGCACCTCACTTTTGGACAGTGAGGGAGAGGACGAGGTGGTTTTAGAGACAGGGGAGGAGGAAGAAGAGGCTGCCTGCTGGAGGATACGCTGCTCGATCTCCTGCTCCTGTTGGAGTGCCTTAACAAAGGCTGCCTTCAGCCGATTGGTGTGCTCAGCCTTCAGGGCCTTCTTCTGATTGGACGACATGCATTGGTCACAGAGGATGGTCCCAGCCTTCTCCTTTCTCCAGCGGGAGGTAAAGTCCGTCTTGCACTGGGCACAGGTGTATGGCTCTTTGGGAATGGAGCTGGCCATTGCAGCAGCTGGGCCCAGATTACCTACATGATGGACAACAGACACATTATGAACAGAGAACGTCTCTAGTATAGTTCATACTTCTACATTCTGCAGTTTAAAAACCACCGTAGTACAGCAGCATCCCAAAACAAAGCCATAACTGTGCAAATATCTACTCACCCCTGCCGTGCATCTCCAGAAGTTTTTGCACCACCTCTTCCAACCCCAACAGGTAGATGAACTCATTATTTGCTGCAGAGGGCAAGAAGTTGAACTCTGGGGCAGGAGGTTTGGGTGGAGGAATCTCCAGCAGCGTCTTCTCCAACTGCTTACGCAGTGCAAGTTTTGCAGCCGCCTGCCGGCTGGCTGGGGAGTCATTGATGCCAGAGTTGGGCGACACTGAAGAGCCCTTTAGGCTGGTTGGAGAGGCCTGGACACAGAAAAATCAGGAACCATTTTACAAGATAAATATGAGGATGCAATTAAAGATAGCTCAGAAAAGGGAAAGAGATTGCTATGGAAATTCTCCAGATTACTGTGCAATGACTGCTTGCATTTTGTGTCCTCACCTGAGGGATGTTGACCATGACATTGCTGTTGGCCACATTAGCCACCCGAATGAGTCCCTGCTGAATGATCCTCTGGCCCTGGACCTGGACATTGGGCACAGAAGCCCTGGGAGCCAGCAGGAGTGGAGGGGGGCCTGAACCGCTGTGCTGCTGCTGTTGCTGACGTAGACTGGCTATCTGCTGGGGAGTCACCGCAATAGGCTGATAAGGCACAAATGCACACACAGAAACCGTGATTTCAGAGGACAACGATTCAGAAGCATGGAGAGAAGGAAGATGAAAACCTGACAACTTCATCAACTGTTTTAAAATTTAAAAAGCAAATACAATAAAAGAGCAATTATCATCAAATGGGCTGCACAGTGGATAAGTGTTTAACTGTCGCCTCTCAGCTAGAAGATCCCTGGTTTGCATCCCGGCCTGGGCCTGGGCCTAGGATTTTTCTGTGTAGAGTTTGTGTGTTCTCCCCGTGCAGCGTGGGTTCTCTCCGGGTTCTCCGGCTTCCTCCCACAGTCCAAAAACATGTTCATGTTAACTGGTGATTCTAAATTGTCTGTAGGTGTGAATGTGAGTGTGCTTGTTTGTCTGTCTCTAAGTGTTGCCCTGTGATAGAGTAGTTCTCAATCGCCCCCACACACACACTAACCTGGGCTCCTCTGACCAGGGGTGGCATGACAATCTGAGAGTTGTGTTTGGACGGGACGTGTTGCCCACCCCGCACCAAGGGAGGGGGGATCACCGTGCCTGAGCTACGACTTGTCACCTGTAAACACGAAATTAGATGACACATTCTTAACATTCTACAAAAGCAGCAAACTTAACTGAGTATCTACCTCGACAGTGGTGCGACAACATATCAAGATAAATAAGTTTTACATGCTGTATTGGGCAAGTGAGGGCAGGTGGGTGAGTAGCTACCTGAAGGGGTCCTTTGCTTGATGTCATGCTACCTCTCACCAGAGGAGGAGGAGTAGCCACCGAGCCAGCCGCCTGGATATTAAGGAGACAGGGAATTAAATGTTGTAGTGTATAAATAATCATTTCATATGGAACAAAAAGAACACTGACGCAGAACTCTTTTGACATGAAGCATTTGCAAATCTACTTTATCAGGCAGGTGTGTATGACAGAGAGGAGTCTATCCAAAAGTTTCAATCAGCCTTCTACACACTGTCGAGCTTGCAAAAACATTTCAGAGCGAGAATTAAATCTAGAAAAATGGTCCTTTGCCTGATAAAGGTCTAGCACCAAAATCTCATGCTAATAAATGTGTTTTTGCAAGTTAATCAGAGGGCCTCAGGAGTCTGACTGACACTTTAAACGTAGCATTTGCACCTATCAGCTCCAACAAAACATAACAAGGAATAAAAACTACAAAACATAACAAGGAATAAAAACTACTTCTTATCAGGGTTTGTTACCTTCTGTACAGTGCTCTCCTTCTGGATCTGGCTCTGTCGTAGTTTCTTCAGCAGCACCAGTTTGGCCTCTTGGAGTCTCAGTTCCTCCTTCAGCTGTTTGATGATGCGCTCCCTCTCCTCAGGTGAACTCTTCTATATGCACCATTAAAGATAAAAACAAGATTTAGGAAATCTACATGTATTTAAATTATATTTCAGGTCCAGTGTGTCTAATATAGCCAAATCAACTCAATAAATGACAAATAAGGATAGGATTTAATGCAATAACAAAGGAACGGACAAATCCAAAACTATGACTTCAAATTTAACACTGAATCAACAACAAAGGTTGCTGTGAAAGTATGTGTTGTAACATTTCTATTTGGGATTTTCTACAGGCATTACTACGTAAGAATAAAGACTTTTAAGCCAGTAAACAGAATGAGACAATTGTTTGAAATTTTTCTATTTCTGTTTTCCTACCATTAGTTTGTCTGTGTCAGTCTTCGTGAAGCAGTGGCCGTTCATGAGGGGACTGGATGGCTCATTGTCCGATAACACGATCACATCATCTGGCGAAGGTGGCTGCCGCTCTTTCTTAATGTCGCTGAAGGGGAGAAATATGAAACGATCATCATTTAACAGCGATTCAGAATTATATTGTACTTCACTCCAGGATACAGAAACTAAAATTACCTTGTAGTTCTGTCTTTTATACAGTAGATGGCAGTATATAATTATGATTTTATCATCCCTGTTGTATTGTGAATGTGTGCTAGGACACACAAGAAGGCAAGAACCAAGAGATCAATAATGGAGTAATGGCGGCAGGGGAAGAACGCAACAACCCATTATCTCCGGCGAAAGGTAACATCGACAGGCCTCGGGCTTTCTCTCTTCCAACAGCGAAATCCCTCACAAATGACATTCAAACTCGAGCCAAATTGACGGCACTGTAGTTTTTATATTGAAGAAAAGGTTCAAGACCTTTGATAAAATGTAAAGTGGCTCTTCCTGAGGACTAAGGAGAACAAAGGCGACCAGTGGCAAGCTGCATATGCATCAATCTGGAGAGGGGTGGAGATAAGAAAGTAGGGGGTGGTTGTAATTTTACAGCGCATGGACCATGGCGGAAGAATAAATCTGCCTCTTTCACAGCAGGGATCCTGTCAGGTTCTAAAAGTCTGAGTGGTAAGAAGAACTAGTGGAGGATGAGGTAAGCTCTGGGTAGAAATATGACAGAATGTGAGAGGTAGAGGTCTGTGTCATACTGTAGAGTTATGCACACATGCAGTGAAGTTATATAATTGTTCAGTAGCTGTCGAGCGAGAGGCTTCAGGGTTTCAAGCTCAGACCCAGTTTACCACCCAGACAGGGCCTCACCCCTCCCCTACCTCCGTGGCGAGGCCTATGGCCTAGCCGGATCGGCACAGCCTGGGCCTCAGCTCTCCCCTCCCTCCCAGCTGCCGACATCAGAGTCACAAGCTGAGCAGAGCGGAGGTCCGCTGGAGACACTGGAGAGGGTGACAGTGAGGGGGAGGGGAATACATGGCCAGGAGCCAACCTATTGTGTACACTCTCTCTCACTCAGTCACTACTTCACACACCCCTCCCCCATCCTTACTTACTTGTTCATCTTTTATACTCCAACTCACTGACTCACTTCTTCACATTTTTTTCCTCCTTTTGCATACTCCTGTCTTGAGACACGTTTCTCCGCTAACCTCCCTTTCTTCACAACAGCTGTCTCAGCTGCTCCCTTCAACAGACACGGCAAGCTCAGTTCAATGAGTTCAGCCTTATGGCAGCATCCATGTTGTCGTGTACATTATGTGATGACTGTTTCATCAGACTGAGCAATTACAACATGAAACCCAGCTAATATTTAGTGTCATAATAAAAGTTTTCCCAGCAGCTGCTGAGAGGAGGATCAAACTCTGTTAATGTCGTAAACTGTAACTTCCTGGAAAGTACTTGCCTGGTACGTTTCATTAAAATCTAGAAAGACATCTGACGACCTGACACTTTCAGAATAGGGCTATTCTGAGAAGGATTACTCTCCTTAAGCACAGCTGAAGCCTGAAGGAGCAGCAGTTTTCCCTCCCCCCTTCTGTTTACATTCCATACAGTACATAATATGATAAAACTACCACTAAAGAGTCAAGAATCCAAAGCTTCTTCATCTCTCACAAAAGCATAACGGCAATCGAGCGCCTCTACTGACTTGGCCTCCCTGATAAAATGACATGGACTAGGCTTGTGATGGTTGCTAGTTACTATTGAGAACAGCTTACACAAGCATCACAACACACACCAGCTTGGTTATGTAAGGTCCAGTGTTTCTGCATGCCTCGGCTTCCCCAATCATGGCTTCACACTGACCCCACTATAGGATTGCTGATTCAGTCATTATGAGGTGCAGCGGGATTCTCCATTCAGAATGCAACGCAACACTGCCAAGTGCCATTTTAAGCCACGTAAGGCTCTTTAAGTTAATGAAATGGCTGAGCTATAAACAGGCGGCCGGCCTAGCAAAGATGTGTTTAAATATTGACATATTGTTGCAGTGTATACAAAGCATCATGCAACCTACTTAAAAAGAGTGACATCTCAGTGACATCCTTTTGCATACATGAGCCCGTTTAAGGCATCTAGTTCAGGTTAGCGACTGTATTATCATTTGGCATGACCAAATATGACTTGCGTTCTGTTTCATTCACAGTTTTAGAAAGTTGGCCTTTATCCTCTATATACAACAATAAAATAATCGCCCTGCAGTGAGTAAGCACACAAACATGCTGAGGGTAAAACCGGGGCCAAAGGTGACACTTGTGTGTAGTTATGACGTGCCACAGTCAGGGCCAACACACTTTCAGCTGAATCACCTCTCTGTTCCACTTTAGCTGCCATCACATCACTGTGTGTATTTATCGCTCTACCAAACACACGTCACATGACATCAGGCATTTCTCTGTGTGGTCATGTGACACACCCACCACCCCTCCTGGCCCCTCCTTCCTCCAACTGCTCCTTCCAATGTGGAAACCATGGCAACGGCCAGTTGGAACCAGTTTGTGACACATAGCCTTCATTTTGTGTGAAGTGTGAGGCAGAGTTCAGGTGCTGCTGTGGGAGAAAATGGAGCCTAGGCCTCAGGAGCCTCAAAGTTTTCAAAATGGGGGCAGGCTGCCGACAACCACGCAGCGACTTCCTGTATGACTCTTGTCAGACCACTTGCTCGCACGGAGTTAAGAGAGAAACCCGAAACTCCAATAAGACACATCTCTGCGCAAAACCACGCGCCGTTGCATGCATGCATGAAATCCAAGGCCTCCGGTACATAAATAACCCTCGAGAAGTTTTCAAACAAACTCGCGCACAAAAATGCTGACAATTAGTCTGCTTCAGTTGTCCTTTTAACCCATATGGTGGTTCGACATCAGCAAGCACAAAACCGTATAGAAACACAAGAGCAAAATGTTCTTTGCATCTTACACTGGCGCTGACACCGACTAGTTTGTAAGCAGATTAGGGTGCATTCTGTGCAGCTGGAAATACTTGTAAAGGGTTTATTGTGAACAAAGTTGGCTGACTGTGCAATATCAAAGCCCAGTGTACAGGAACAGGCATATCTGCCCAAGGTAATGTGTTTATCACATTCCTTTCAGAGTTAATTACTGACTAATGACTTACAGTATCATGTAAATTGAACAACAATGTGTTCCTTATGAGCAACACCCTCAGCTGTTGTATGAAGTAAGAAAAAAAAAAAACAGACAAAATCAAACCCTATGATCCTTTTCCTTTCCTCACCTTTTGGATGTGCTCATGTCGACCGGCTCGTCTCCAGTCTGCACCTCCACCTTGATGGTAGCCTTCACTTCGCCTGCCTTTAGGATGCTGGCTGCTACCTTAGCAGCCTGCTCGCTCTTCAGCTTGACCCCCTCAGCTCCAGGTCCCACCAGGGCGAGAGGGGCCCCAGCTGCATCACCCTTCTCCAGCTTCACCCGTTTACTGTCCATGTCCTCCAGGGACCCGGAAAGAGCTGCATGGTCCCTCTCCAGAGCCCGCTTCTGGCTGCGTGTTTGACGCACCGCCTCCTCTGACATGGCTGCTCTCACCCTGGAGAGAGGAATAGCAAACAGTTACAAATAGTTTAAACACATTTACAAAACAAACAAACAGACAGACAGACAGGCAAAAAGGACTGGCTGGAGACGAGAGGAAGATACTGGTTTGATTGTTAGCATGCAGCTCTAGGTGCCTCATTAGTATAGAACAACAACATCGTCCTCTTTTATTTACAACAAAAAGTGCATCTCTCAAACTGAATATTAAACACACTGTGCTACACATAAGTGGTGGAGGATCTGGCCCAAAGATCACATAAGATAGAGCTTTAATTATCCAGCAGGAAATTTTTGTTTTGTTTTGGGGGTAGAATTACAATGCACAATCGGAAAACTTAGTTGCATTTGTGTACTCAGGTTGAGTGGATACAAAGACTGGCCCTTAAACTCGAGGCGAACTCACTCTCACTCTCTGAATCCTGTTTTTGTTATGATGTTTTTGTGAAAGTTCTGAATGGAAATAGGGGTTCATGTCTGCGCCGGTTTGAGACTAATTTGGAAAGTTCAGTCACTGCTAACCAGTTAGCCTTGGACCGCCCAGTCTTCTGTTCCCCTTCCCGCAAGCTGGTCAGGTCACTGTCATGTCAGTCCCTGCTGCCTCATCAGTGAGTCTCTCGCCCCTACTCTATCTCCACTAGCTTGGGCTGCAGCTGGCAATGGTAACATATCTTATCACAGGCGGAAATATGGCATCCATGTTGTGCTCTGCAGCCTCTGTGAGGTTGGCATAGCACATGAGCCACTTTTCCACCTGCTGCAGGTTCTGGAGTGGCTTTCCAGTTTGCTGTGGATCTCTTGGAGAGCAGAGCAAGGACTACTGTCACCAGCTGCAGGCCAAAAAAGTGGAGTTGGAGTGTGTCCGTGGGATGAGAGGTTAACTGGATGAGACACTCAGTGAAGTAGACGAGAAGGACCTCATACCAGCACACAGGTAAACAAGAGGCTGGCGGTAGCTGGTGAGCAGCCACTGAAATTTCACAATAAAATACTTGTACATTAATGACACAATCGCTATAATTCCACTGAAAAGCAGATTATCAAATTAAGGTCCCTCATGATATAAAATTGTCAAATCATCCACCCCTACGGCACACTTTTACCAGGTGTCTGCTTCACACTATTACGCAGGTTTCTGAGTTTTGAGTGTCTTATCTCCCAGTAGAACCTGATTCATCCTTTTGCCAAAACAACATCATAGTATTATGTGAATACTGTGTTGTTGCCTAATTCCAGAGGGCCGTAATGTCCATCCATCCATCCATTATCTATACACCGCTTAATCCTCACAAGGGTCACGGGGGGCTGGAGCCTATCTCAGCTGACTTAGGGTGAAGGCAGGGGACACCCTGGACAGGTCACCAGACTATCGCAGGGCTACACTTAGAGACAGACAACCAAGGACATTCACACCTACGGACAATTTAGAATCACCAATTAACCTCAACATGTTTTTGGACTGTGTGGGAGGAAGCCGGAGAAGCCGGAGAGAACCCACGCTGCACGGGGAGAACATGCAAACTCCACGCAGAAAGATCTCGGGTGTCCTCACCGGGATGCAAACCGGCGACCTTTATGCTGTGAGGCAACAGGGCCATAATGTAACCAGCAAATTAAAAAAAAAAAAACGCCCTGAACACCTTGTGAAATGAAGTGTTGGGTCGCATTACCTTGGCTGAGGTACATATAAAACCTAAAATTGAGACAATAAAATTGAAACAGTGCTGAGTTTAAGTTTTAACCGACATCACAGGGTGCCTTTGTCTGAGAGGCAACAGAGTGCCAAAAGAGTGACTGCAGAGCTGAACCAAATCAACTACAATGAATCTGCAACAACGCTCAGGTGAAGTTGCCATTTAACAAGTTTAAATTGCAGCTGCTTAACTCAAAAAGCTCTCAATCAATGCCACCACCAGGGTATGTGAAGTTCTGAAGCACTTATAATCACATTTTATTTTATAGATTGCCATTATATTAAACCAGGGACTAAAAAAAAATAAATTGTGCGCCTGAGTACAACACTGTAATCATCTGAAGAGTGAAATCACAGAAGTGCAACCAGTGCAAAAATAAAGAACCCTGAAATCTGTTTGTCTTTTAAGAACAGGCCTTACTACTGATCTACGATACGCAACTCCAGATCCAGATTATTAAGAGAAACAGTAATCCTTGAAAACACATTGGTTATGTACTGCAGTTGTGTATAATAAAATGTGCAATAATTAATTAATGGTTGCAATAAACCCTTGTTTTTATTGCTGATTAATCAGCTGAGAATCGTCCAGATTTCCCCATTAATTATAAAATATATATCTATAAAAGGCCAATAAGAATTCCCAAAGGCGTTGAATGATGTTCTCAAATGCCTTGTTTGTTGAACCAACATTTGAAACCCCAAAGGCATTTCCTTTATTGTCACAAATGTCAAAGAAAAGCATCAAATCCTCATATTAGCCTGAAAGCACATGTTTTGCTTCTTTCTTTTTTTTGTCTCCAAAACATGACTTGTTCGTACCCATACAGTTGCAGCTCTGGTTTGATTTTGCTGATATTTCCAGCTGCATACAGGGACAACCCTGAGGTGTACAGGCATCTCCTGTCCTACTGCCAGTGCCCCAGATGCTGACCCAAATCTCACTCAGTACGGTAACAGCAGAGGATGAGAGACCCACTTAGATTTCAGGGAAAAACCTATTACACAGCAGAAAAGCAGCGCTGTGCTACGTTTACACCAAGTACACCAATGTAGGCCATGTGCTCATTATGGAACCATCACTCACACATGCTCTTAAAAGTTCATAATAATTGATATACAAACATGATGCATTTCGTAGGATGAGTGCATTAACATGTGTGCATGTGTGTATTTAAAGATTCTGAAAGAAGAGCCTAAATGATCATTGGACTGAAAGCGTCTGCACGTATATATGCAACCTTGCATGTCTGATTAAGGAGGCTGGCTCAAGGTCTTTCTAGTCTGTGACATCCTAACAGTTCATGCCCAAAAGATTTCAGAAGAGACAAAAAGTGTTTCCCCGAAAACCAGTTCAAACTGGTCTGCAAACGAGTGAAGGCACAGGTTTAACATATGGATAGACAGTGGCAGAAAGAAGGGGGAGAGAGACGGGAAGGCCAGAGACACGTCCCACACAGGGAAGAAGAAGGCAAGAGGGAGGAGGAGGAGGAGAAAATGATGTCGTCTTCGAGCATTCCAACATACGGCAAGCAGACGGGGGGTGGGGGGGGGGAAACGCATCCGTGACATGACTTACTTCTCTAGCAGTCAAGAGTCAGCACATAACATTAAAAGCCTGTCATTTATGACACCTGATACTCTTAAAAACACTATTTTAGTATTGCTGGACACAGTAAACAGGGCTTGACATTAAGGTTTACCCTCTTGTATGGGACAAGTGGATTGATTTTGTAGTGCAATTGGAGCAGAAATGTATTTGCCCCACTAAACATTTAAAAAAAAAAACTTTTTTTAATCGAGTCTTCACATTATGTGTCAGTCATTACTTGGCTGTTTGGTTAAATGATTAACTGTTACATTCACATTACCGACTAGAAACAATGCACCCGTCTGATGATTAAAAAACACCTTTTGAGATTAGCTAAGCTACAAACTAACTGGGGAGGGGGGGTGTACACCTTGTAAGCCAAGTTTGACGTTACCTAAACTCAATGCATCTGTCACGTCGTCGGTGATGAAAATACTCCTGGACAAAATAGGCCAGACCATTGGTTCTAAAACGGTGTGCAGTGGAAGCAGACCAGGGGCCTGGTGCATAAAAGAACGCCGTGTAGATTGAAAAATAATAATACACTCAGTGAAAACAACCTAAACTACAAGGGTGCGGTTCATTTTTACCTGAACAAGTGACTTTTGTGGGTGGACAATAAACAGCCACATTTTCTTGTCCAAAGCTAATGCCGAGCCACGATAAACATCTTGATTTATTTCTGTCTGCTTTCCATTAAGGCCTTTAAGATGTAAAGATCATAGTTCACCGTTTGAATCTTATGTATACAAATCCTCCTACTATGAGTCGGTTAAAGCAAGGCACTGAAAGAACTGCAATGTAAGGTCGGAAAATGAAACTGCATTTCAGCAGTTTCAACAAAACACTGCGTGCACTAAGACTGCAGTTTGTTCTAACAATCCACATCTGTTAGTGCGGCTCAAATTTAACTTCAAGTGAGGGTATGACATTGGCATCCTTGACACTTGGCAAGATGTTGAGCTTAGGTGTTCATAATAAGTAAACCCAAGACTACATTCAAAATAAAGCAACTACAACAGAGCTCAACATTCAGGTCTGTTTGCATAGAAGCGTGGAACCTAAAATGCACCCTGCTCTGGTACACTGCAAGGACAGATGTGCCCTGCTGTACCATCCCTGGACACAAAGGCTATCTATCTGCCAGAGATGACAGCTTGCGTGTGGGTGTGTATGTGTGCGTGCCCGTATACCACACACAGTGCTTCAGAAGTCATACTTTAAGCAGTAAGACTGCAGAAATGGTGGCTGCACATTGCTCTTGCTGTAACGGTGGTGAACCGTGTCAGGTAGAAAATGACTATAACCCTTTGGGACAGTGCAGTCAGATCTCCACATCGCTAGGACGGCTGTGGCTGCTAGTTTCAGGTCTAGAGACACGTGGCTACCTTTGTCCCAGAAGAGATATATGGCATCACGAATCCAATGTTTAATGTACTGGATGCACTGCTGCTAAGCAACAGGGGGTGAGGGGGGGGCATTGTTGTCCATGCATATGTTGTGATGTGTTATGTATGCACTTGAGACTGACTGAGAGGGATGTGTGTACTAGTTCTCATTGTTGCATCACACTCAATCTCACTAAACCTCCAGTGAGGCATCATAACCCACTGGTCGATTTGGATAAAACAAATTCCAAACAAGAAACATGACCGATTGTGAAAACAACATGTGTAGAGAACTGTGGCATATTTCTTTTACAGAATAGTTC